TTTTTTCCCTCTTTTGCAAGCCTAAGCCCCCGTTTAACAACCATTATTTCAAAACTATTTAATTCTCATACTCATTTTCAACCACACATTCACACAATAAAATATTTTACACGTAAACCCAAAATTTTTTCTCTATTTTTTAACCATACATTCTCCAAAAATTTACTATTCAAATCTCGATAAATAATGGCCATCAAACATGGGTTAAATTATAGACTCAAATATAAGGTAGTGAGTATTGACTAATATTTTCTCGTATAATACTAATAAGTAATTAAGAGTTGTAAGTGCATTCTTTGCATTGTTAAGGAAAGCGATCGGCAACTTTTCATGTAAACTTACTATTTTTATCGATCAACGTGTTTGGGTGAGCTTAACGGATGGGATTAAATATTCATTTTCAACTCTATTATCCCCATTTACTTATTAATTTATTTTTGTAATGTTATTTCTATTTTAAAAATGATTTAAATTTAAAATATTAAAAAAAAAAAAAAATTAAGACGCCAGACGGGGACCATTAAACATCTCTAGGTGAACTACAATCAACTTTAATTGCGTTTGAATAAATTATCATTTTAGATAAATTATACTTGTTTTTATTTATGAGCAGAAAATCAAAACAGTAAATCTATTTATACCGAATGATTCACCATGTACATCGTCCAGATACGATGCTAGCAATACTGCATTAGAAATTGGCAAAAAAGTGCAGTGTTGGCAGCCAATGCAGTACTACCAACTTGCATTGGCTACCAACACTGCTTCTGGACCTTATACAGGGTGATTCACCTTGTACAAGTAGCATATCTCAAATAAAATAAGGTGATCATGAAGTCGTTACAATTTCTCTAGGTTGTACGGAACTTAAATTGGAAGGGGAAAACATGCAACAATTTTGACATAGTCTGTTTGTTTTCTAATTCTTATATTTTCATTTAGAGCGAAAGACAAAGGAAGGGGAAAAAGTACTCGAATCGCTTCCGAAGTTCAGTTTGTCTTCATTTAGTTCTTCTCCTTAGATACACAAGAAATGATTGATAAGATGAGAGTGAGTGCTGCTTCTATCATGAATCACCTTTCCGAGAAGAGAAGAAATTGGCAAATTTTCAATAAATCTTAGATTATAAGCATATGTTTGATATAATGTACTAAAATCGCCCACTATATTAACTTTTTTTTTTTTTTTCTATTTTTCAATCTTATTCAATATTATTCAGTTGAATATATTGAACATGCCATGAATATTTGTAATAGGGAACTCCAAAAATTAGTCTCTTCAAGGGAAAAAAAAAACATTGGTTTGATTTCATTTTCATTGAGGTGATATTTCTATTAATTATGGACTGATTATTACTTGTAAATGGATTTTATTTAGTCATTTTAAAAGAAATTCCTTAAAATGATTGGATGGAAGGACGATAGGTAACCTTCCTATTTATATCATTCATAGCATCAATTTTGATCTAAAATTTCAATTCTTTCCCTTTTTATAAAACACGAAAGAAATAAGCCTGTACACGACTCTACAACTCGATTGACTCTTTTGTACTACATCTCAATGTCACCAACACTAATCTTTTTTAATTAAGAATCGAACCATCTTTCTCATATCATGTGAATCCAATATTTATTTAAGGAAAATCTTTCTTTTTGTCAATAATTATCCTTGTCATTTACTCTAGTACCTATCACCTTGGTTTTAATTGGTCATTTTCAAGCATCCTAACATGGTCCCATGGAAGAATGATAGTGTAGCTTCATGTTTATGCCTTTCATATATACCACACATTTCGTGAGGCTTTGATTTGAGATTTCAATTCTTACTACTTTACTAAAAAGTTATGATATTTAATATCAGTCTAAGCGACAGCATTAGTGACATTAAATTACAGATTTCATTAAATGAATCACATAATTTCATCTTTAATTGAATCTATCACATATTGCAACATAGATCAGTGATCTAGCATAACTGGTGTTAGATATCATTATTCTTTACAAAAACATGTAGAATTTTGTATATGCACGAGTCAGCCACGCAATTATTTAGTTCCCACTGTCTCCCTTTTTTGGTTTTTCTTGGCCACAAATCTTTTCAGATAAGAAATCAAGTAATCTTGATTGTGTAACATGAATCCAATTATTATTTAGGGAAATCCCACTTTGCTCTCAACAATGTCTTTAATTATCATTTACTCCCCAGTAACATTCCATTATATAAGAAACTTGATAAGCATTAGATTAATTTATCCTAAGTGAGCCATGGGGAGCAGTTCAATTCTCTCAGCTGTCGCCAAGAGGTAAGCAAAAATACAAGCCTATTGGGCCTTCCCTTATCGTTTTGAGGTGATCTAAGCGACGCGAAGATCGTGTAATAGTGAGAGTGAATTGACTATAACTATGAGTGTTTGCTTTACGTTTTTCTATTTATTTTTTTATTATGATTGCTCTCCTGATCAAGATTAGGGTTTAATTCGACCCAAATATTCCCTTACATGGCAGATTGGAAGGCAAAGTAGCCCTAATTACAGGTGGAGCAGGAGGGCTTGGATCCGCTACAGCAGACTTATTTTGTCAACATGGTGCTAAAGTCTTGATTGCTGACATCAAAGATGATCAGAGCCATTCGATCTGCAAAAACATATCTACATCAAATGCTTCTTTCATCCACTGCGATGTTACAAATGAATCAGACGTCCAAAATGCTGTTAACACTGCGGTTTCAAAGCACGGAAAACTTGATATCATGTTCAACAATGCAGGAATCATGGATGTCAAAAAACCCGACATTTTAAATAATGATCGAGCTGATTTTGACAACATTCTTCGCGTAAATGTCACGGGTGCCTTTTTGGGCACTAAACATGCTGCCCGGGTCATGAAACCGGTCGGCCAAGGGAGCATAATCAACACAGCTAGTGTTTGTTCAGTTATGGGGGGCGTGGCTACTCATGCTTATACATGTTCCAAGCATGCACTGTTGGGACTTACCAGGTGTTATTTTAATTGTAATTGAGCCGAGCATATTCTTATATTCTCATATTTGAAGTCTTTTTTACACTTCATTGAACAACATATTGCGTCTCGTTCATCGACAGGAACACTGCGATTGAGTTAGGACAATATGGAATTCGAGTTAATTCTGTGTCACCATATGCATTTCCTTCATATCAATCGAGGACATTGTTAGGGCTAAAAGGGAATGAATGGCTGGATGATAAGTATTCAAATTTGAGGGCAGAGGATGTGGCTCAATGTGTTGTATATTTAGCAAGTGATGAATCTAAGTATGTGAATGGGCACAATTTGATAATTGATGGAGGTTTTACACTTGTAAATTCAGCTCTTACCATGTTTTCTCAATAAAACTTCATGTACTTTTGATCGATTTTGTATTTGTTTGTTACATCGCATTTGATAGTTACTAAGATTAGACGAGATTTTATAGTTCGATCAAGTGTATGCAAGATGTCTTTACGATATAATTGGTACATTGATCTCAATGACTATATAAGACAAGTCATAAAATTTAGTTCACACATATTAGAGGTGTTCCAATATATTAGACCTATCCAAGCTTGACGCAGCAAAAGCTCGATTCAAGGATCGTGTCTTGGGTTAGCTCGTCCCTAGAGCCAGCCCACGTCGAGTCCACTCGAGAAAGAACTAGCTAGCACTAATCGATAATTAAGTTTGTATGCTGGTGACAATCTGATTTATATCTCTAGTATAAATTCTTTAATCACGAGAACTAAGTGAAACTCGATAGTATTGAAAGATATGAAAATTTCGAAAGAACTAAGGTGGTGTTTGGTTTGCTATTTTCAGTCTTCGATTTTGCAAAAACTCAAAATTTGTTTTGTCTAATATATTTTAAAATACTTTTCAAAAACAAGGTTGAACTTATAACATAAAATTCAAAACATATTTTCGATGTGTTCAGTAAATTACAGTGAAAACACTCAAACATATGGAATATAAGAGTTTAAATAAAATTTTAAAATTAAAAATTCTAAAAAAGTAAAAAATTATTTTAAAAAATAGCTCAAACTCTTATTTAAATGAACAAAAAAAAAAAAAAAAATTCAATCCATATTATTAATTTTTATTTTTTATTTCATATATTTTGCTAACTTAATTTAGAAAAAAATATTGTAAGATTCGCCAAGTTTAAAATGTATATATTACTTGACAATGTATGGACATAAAATTATTCTATTTTACTAAATAATCAAATTTTATGTAATAAAATGTCATAAAATAATTTCTCAAAATTTCAAAATATACGTATTTTCCAATTTTCTATTTTGAAAAATAGATTCTTAAAGTGTCAAAACAAATGCATTTTTAATAATATTAGAATAAGCCTTCAGAATAGAAAACTGAAAATAGACTAAAAAAAAAAAAATGAACCAAATGGGTCTTGAGTTAACATGACATCTTCAGTAAATATATATTTCTCGCCAGATTTTGCTATTTGCGTATTCATTTATGATAACTTTATTGACAATGTGATGTGTCGGTAAAAAGTTATGGGTTAATCCATTTGTACTTAATGGATTACCCCCTCTCACATAATGCATGAGGTCTGACAATGTGGTCCACATCCCCATTATGAGTAATAAGTAAAAAATTCAGTAAAAAAATTCAGTACATATAGCATGATCCAAAATTTATTGACTACAAAAATAACCTTTTGTTAAAATTGTCCAATAATATAATGCTACGTGTCATTCTTAAAAAAAAAAAAAAATGTCAATGAAATTGTACACAAATCATGACTTATTTTCACCAATTTACACGTCCTCTGTCATCATATTAGTTTTTATTGTCGCTCGTAAAAAATAGCAAGGAAAACTACAAGAGTCAAGCTTTTTGTACCACCTCCTTTACCACTTGATTTACAGATGAATGATGGGGCAGATGAATGATGGGGCAGATGAATGTGTGAAATGTGAAAGGTGGTGTGAGATTTTGTCAAGCGCAAATTAGGTAAACCAAGGTGTAAAGAAAGATGTACATGTAGTAAGATTGAAACTGCAATATCAATTTCTAGTAGAAAACAGTTTTATTGCTAATTTTTTCAAAAATAATTTTCCTCGAGAATATTTTATTTTCTTTTATGTCCTAAAATATTCATATTCCAAAAGAAAAGAAAGAGTTTAATTCACACAGCCATATTTTGACGTCTGATGAAGAATTTTTTGATTATTGAGGCTAATTGATCGGTTTGCTTACACCGACCCATAAACAATTAAAAAGAACACTTCAACAAGAAAACAGCAGGAATTCTTGAAAATTTGTCACCAAACAAAGATTCTTGAACTTTTCCGCAATAGCTTCAAGATCTTTCAGCGGTTCATTATATCAGATGCTGGAAAATTAAGCATCGATCTGTGAGTTCTTTCTTTCCTTTTTTTTTTTTTTTAACTTTAATTTCTCCATTTGGGTTCCAAGAAAAAATATACTGAAAATGAAAGAAGAATACCTAATTTTAATATTTAAAGGTTAGTATTAACTTGCTGAAATTGTTCTGTATGCTGTTTTTAATTTCAAGATTTTCTGCCATAAAAAGAAGGGTTTCATATTTTGCATTATTTTTCTTTTTAAGACATTGTGAGTGACTTTTAGGAGTAGAAATTAAGCATTTATTTGTTTTTATTGCTTTATAAATTTAATTGTGGTTGATAAAAAACAGCAAAAATAGCACAAGTGTTTTGAATTTTTACACATACGCAATGAATATTAGGTAATTTCTTATTTAGTCTCTGGGTTATGGAATATGTAATGTGCATTTTGTGCTCATTTATTTATTATTTCTTTTGGCAGGTTTTTGAGCCTGGTATAGTAATCATGTCGAGGGGAATGCTTCTCATTGTTCTTATGCTGATACTGATTATAACATCTCAATTTGAATGGAGGCAACAGCTTGGGGGCGACGCAGATACGAGTTCAAGGGAGTCTCAGAAGCAGCCACAAATTTCTAAGAGAGAAGTTGTCAAAGAGAAGGTAATGGCAGCTATCTTCCATTCTTTTACCATCGAATTCATTCATCTAAAAATTATTTGCACTTGAACCATACTATTTTCTTACTTGATTATGTATATGTTTTGTGAGTAGGTAAAATTGAAATGTTTTGGCACCTAGGATATGAGATGACTTGAAGTTGTTTTAGATTCATCTAACGTTTGAAGTAGTTGTCCCTTAACCCTCAATCTCTCATCTCTTGACGTTAAGAAAAAAAGAAAAATAAATAAATAAATTATTCCATAATACATGTATGTATTTGATGAGAGTTTCTGGGGTAGGTGCTCTCATGGTTCGCGAGAAGGAAAAAGACTTATTATATCCAAATGCCTACTGTACTTTACTTGCTGGCAATATTGGTTTAGATAACGTTGTAAAATGAATGTGTCAAAAGGCATGTCTTAAATTTGCATTAAGTGCTGATAAATTTGGCGATGTTAATATTAATGTGTTAAACCACTATGGTACCATGCATTACTCACTTTTTCTGTTAATGTTTTTTTATTGCCAAATATAAAAAACTTCATTTTAGAACATCCGCTTCTTTTCAAGATGTTATCTTCACGTTAATATATATATATTTTTTTTTTAAATTCCTTGGTATTCAATGTAACCAATGGGGTAGAGAATTCTTCTGAGGACAAATATTGAGGATCTAAACTAATAAGATGCTTCTTCGAATCCACTTTAAGATAAAAGATGCTCTATATAGATAGCTGTAATATTCTAAGCTATAATTCCATTGATGCTCCTTTCCTAATGTATTGACATTCCCTACAAGGAGCGTGTCCTCCTGGTCTCCTGGTACTTGAAATATCTTATGTATGAGCATTTGTTAACATTTTGGTTGATCCTTAAATGTTGATCGTATTTTTGAACTGTTCCATAATATTTCAGTAAGATTTAGGACACGTGCTAAGTATGGTGGTTTAAGGATGAGTAACATAAGAAAGAGGAACGCTCACAAATGTATCTTGATCGACATAAAACAGCTTAGAAAAATTGCAATAAATGTATCTTTGTATTAATGCTTCAGAACTATTATGAAGTATAAAGGGTAAGGCCTCTGTGTTTAGTGAGCCACTCACATGCTAGTTCACTTTAAACATAGGAAGCAGAGTAGCAGGTTCGCCCGACTGTAGAGAGTAAAAAGAATTGATCTGGGTTTTGTACAATAATATATTCTTCGTTCTCAGCCACACGGGTTTACATGGTTGTGAAGGGTTTGATTGAATTGGATCTTCTATTTGATATATAGAAAGGAGTGGCATGGTGGCAGAATCCAATCCCAAACTTATTGGAATATATGACTTTGCTTGTTGTTTGTTGGAATCAGTTAGTGTTTGTTAGCAATTGACACGTTTACCAATCAACATTCCTCTTGTATTACACCTTCCATTTATAGATTAGTTGCAATAAATACAGTTATGTACAAATGAAATAGGGTTGAATAATGATGCTAGCATATTAGGCAAAACTGTCCTTTTGGGACAGAAGGAGTAACATGGTTTGCCGCTATTTAATGACATGATAGAGGCAAAACTGAAAATCTCGTCTCGCCGGAGTTTGGAATTATGAAGGTCTTATTATGTCATTCCTGAATAAAGGTATGTAGCAGTTTTCATTTTTAAAACGTCACATGTAAGTTGGGTGAGCAGCAGATCACCTCTTGTATGTTTGACGTGCATGTTTGGCTAAGCTAAAAAAGTCTACAATAGGTAAGTTTGAAAATAAATTAAATATTTTGTTGGTCACTGTTGAAAATAAGTAGTTATTTATTTGAAATGAACTCTTACTTTATTATCAAAACAAGTAAACTATTTACTTATATTAAGAAAACTTATCCGAAAATGTCTGGGAACAAAAAATTATTAAGGGCTCTTTTGGTAGAACTTCTGTTTCTTATAGAAGAGCGTCCTGATGAAGCTATCTTGGATCAGCTCCCTCAGGAAATTATCCGTACAAATCCAAAACCATCTTCTTAGTTTCATAAGCAATTTTTGACATTTCAAAAGTTCTGCTAAACGTGCTCTTAAAAGCTTAGCCAACATGCTATAGTCCTCCAAGACAAGATCATGTTGCACTTACAATTATAGAATCTTGCTCGGGTTAACATATCCCAAGGAATTTGGTGGAACTATAACCAGGAACTGTACTGAGAAATGTGCAACAGTGCAAGTAATGTTTCGGAGCCCCTGGCCATAGAAGTGAAGAGAACAATTGTGAACATATTAGTTGAAAAGGCTAGCATTTGGGTCGAGCATCTTTACCAGGTTTTGAAAAAATTGAAGGATAAACTAGCATATCAAAAGCGACATGGGTTGTATATTTTCGTGGCTTTGATTTAATATATGCTTTCTATCTTTGCTTCTCTCTTTCCCAAGAGGAACTAAAAAGGATACTTTTCCTGAAGCATGTTACCGGATGAATAGCGAATATAAACAAGTTTTGACCTATATTATCTACTCTGACTACTCATGCAGATTATCTTATCACAAGAGAAGAACATCCAGAGACTCAATGAGCTCGTGCGGAGTCTTAAGGAACAATTACAGCTGTGCCAGTGTAATAACGAGACCAGTAATGGCACTGTTAGCTCGTTGACCGAAAACATTATTGAGCTTGAGCAACAAATTCTGGAGGACTAAACGTTGACCTTGAAGTTCTTTTCATCATCAAGGGTTCACCGTTCATGCAAGGTTTCAACTTCTGTTGTGTTGTTATCTTTTGCTTTGTTGTAATACCCTACGAGTTTTTGCTGTTTGATGCTAAACGAAGACACTTCTTGTACTTAAGTCTCGGCAAATGTGTGTTAATAGTCGCGAGTAAATGCTGTTTATTCCTATGCCTTTCTTGAAATTACCATTTTTAGTTGAATCCTAGTTCTTCAGAATTTAGCATAGTCGAAAATTTGCGCAATACAGTGCTCTGTTTTTGCTTTCACCCTTTTAATACAGAAGCTCGAATGCTAGGCAACAATAGGGATGTCAAAATGGGCTGAAAGTGGGTGGGCTTGAAAATTAATACTTTTTTTTTTCAAATGACCCACCGTATGGGCTCATTGACAAGGGATGAGGGCCTGAAGATAGACCTATGTGGCTTGTTCGTGGAGTCGGGCTATCCTTGCTTTTGATGAGTTGGCCCACTTATAGAGGCGATAGCCCTTGTACTAATGGTTGAACATTGGGAAGAGTTACAGACAATCACATTTTGTTCGAGTACCAAATTAAGTGCCATAATCACATAACAAAAATCAAACTAACAATTATTAACTCGCCGTATTTTTACCATTTTTTTGTTCTCTCATATTAAGAGTAATTATTTTGGGGAGCCCGATCAACCTTGGTTTTGGTGTGTTGGCGTAAATGGCTTTTTAACACAATTTGACACTTGTAAATGGTAACTACAATTTTGGTAGCTATTAGTTTTCTGTTGTTTAAAATGCCGGGGAAAATATTTTTATCTACTTACAAATTTGAGATATTAATGACACACCCTAATATTTTGCTTTTTTAATTGCTACTTGTAAATTTGATGGCAGAGAGAGTTTTAGATCACATAATAATTAGAGTTTGAATATTTATAGATATTTAGTTGCAACCAAAATCTGTAAATATGTAGTCTTTGTAAATTGTAAAGGATGGAAATTCAAGAAAATATTTGGATGTGTGAGCCAATACCAAAGTCGAAAACTTCATCAAATTCATCAATTTCAAAAGATAGAAAGTAGATGGAGTACAAAGCTAGAAATGATCGAAAAATCTCTAACTCTGTACCCTAAAATCTGTGATAGTCTTGCCATTGTTAAGAACTTTGTTACACCTCTCCACCGAGGCTCCAGTCAAAGGTCGCAGTCCACGTGAAAAGAAAAGTCAACAAAGACCCAATTGGTCAAATGCAAAGAAGTCAAACAAAGACTGAACCTCATGTGCTGAAGTACTACCTAAATGGTTGAAGCTCTTAAGCCAAAGCGCTACGTAAGAAATCAAAGAAGAAGCTGAAGCTTTTCACACAGAATACCACCAATACTAAGTTCCATTCGATCGAAACCCTCAATTCATTCGAAGTCCCTAAAGCTGAAGTTGTCTCTTACAAGATTTATAGGCAATATTTAAGAATGATTGACGTAATGTTTGTAATAAAGAATGTCAAGTGTGTCAACCTAATGTATAGGCAACTGACCCGTTGTCAATGTATTTAATGTATAATAGACTTAGTGATGTGAGGCTTCAGTTAAGGAAATGAGGCCGCGTGATTCTGATCCAACGATTAACATGTTGGCTAGAACTCAATAAATATGTGGTCTTTATAAATTATAAATGATGGTCTTTTGGAATATTGGTTCTAATATGCAAGAATACACTCAAGAAAAATGCTCTCAATATACCCTCTTGCTTACATTTGTTAGTTGGATCTTAGGTTATTGACATTTTATTGGTGATTGTTTGTTAGTGCAATCATCTTAGTCACAAGCTCCCTTCACTGTCCGGTTTTCATGTCAAAACGTGTCGAAATTTTTTTGAGTTGGCGTTAGTGAACCCGACATCTGTTGTCTACGTTGACGTTACGAAAAACGGGGTCAACAAACTCAAAGAACCCCTTATGGATTTTTTGCAGATCAATAATTAGAAATAATTTTTAGAGAGGCAATTAATATAAAAAAAAAAAAAATTCGGCTCTGGGTCTAGAACCGAGAACCGAACCAAACCATTCGGTTCTCGATTCGGATACCCGTCCGGGTATTTCATTTTAAAAAACCCGCTCGGTTCGGTTCGGTTCGGTTCGGTTCGGACATTTTGCCCAGCCCTAAGCTCGAATGCTAGGCAACAATAGGGATGTCAAAATGGGCTGAAAGTGGGTGGGCTTGAAAATTAATACTTTTTTTTTTTTTCAAATGACCCACCGTATGGGCTCATTGACAAGGGATGGGGGCCTGAAGATAGACCTATGTGGCTTGTTCGTGGAGTCGGGCTATCCTTGCTTTTGATGAGTTGGCCCATTTATAGAGGCGATAGCCCTTGTACTAATGGTTGAACATTGGGAAGAGTTACAGACAATCACATTTTGTTCGAGTAATTCCAAATTAAGTGCCCTAATCACATAAGAAAAATCAAACTAACAATTATTAACTTGCTGTATTTTTACCATTTTTTTGTTCTCTCTCATATTAAGAGTAATTATTTTGGCGAGCCCGATCAACCTTGGTTTTGGTGTGTTGGCTTAAATGGCTTTTAACACATTTTGACACTTGTAAATGGTAACTACAATTTTGGTAGCTATTAGTTTTCTGTTGTTTAAAATGCCGGGGAAAATATTTTTATCAACTTACAAATTTGAGATATTAATGACACACCCTAATATTTTGCTTTTTTAATTGCTACTTGTAAATTTGATGGCAGATACAGTTTTAGATCACATAATAATTAGAGTTTGAATATTTATAGATATTTAGTTGCAACCAAAATCTGTAAATATGTAGTCTTTGTAAATTGTAAAGGATGGAAATTCAAGAAAATATTTGGATGTGTGAGCCAATACTAAAGTCAAAAACTTCATCAAATTCATCAATTTCAAAAGATAGAAAGTAGATGGAGTACAAAGCTAGAAATGATCGAAAAATCTCTAACTCTGTACCCTAAAATCTGTGATAGTCTTGCCATTGTTAAGAACTTTGTTACGCCTCTCCACCGAGGCTCCAGTCAAAGGTCGCAGTCCACGTGAAAAGAAAAGTCAACAAAGACCCAATTGGTCAAATGCAAAGAAGTGAAACAAAGACTGAATCTCATGTGCTGAAATACTGCCTAAATGGTTGAAGCTCTTAAGCCAAAGCGCTACGTAAGAAATCAAAGAAGAAGCTGAAGCTTTTCACACAGAATACCACCAATACGAAGTTCCATTTGATCGAAACCCTCAGTTCATTCGAAGTCCCTAAATTTGAAGTTGTCTCTTACAAGATTTATAGGCAATATTTAAGAATGATTGATGTAATGTTTGTAATAAAGAATGTCAAGTGTGTCAACCTAATGTATATGGCAAGTGACCCATTGTTAATGTATTTAATGTATAATAGACTTAGTGATGTGAGGCTCCAGTTAGGGAGATGAGGCCGCGTGATTCTGATCCAACGATTAACATGTTGTCTAGAACTCAATAAATATGTGATCTTTGTAAATTGTAAATGATGGTCTTTTGGAATATTGGTTCTAATATGCAAGAATACACTCAAGAAAAATGCTCTCAATATACCCTCTTGCTTACATTTGTTAGTTGGATCTTAGGTTATTGACACTTTATTGGTGATTGTTTGTTAGTGCAATCATCTTAGTCCAAGCTCCCTTCACTGTCCGGTTTTCATGTCAAAATGTGTCGGAATTTTTTTGAGTTGGCGTTAGTGAACCCGACATCTGTTGTCTACGTTGACGTTACGAAAAACAGGGTCAACAAACTCAAAGAACCCTTATGGAATTTTTGCAGATCAATGCTTAGAAATAATTTTTAGAGAGGCAAATCTATTGTGTAGATGGTCTTCAAGAGCTTTTCATTTTTTGATCATCATGATATCATTGTTCATGCAATTTGGGATAATTGTGCCGGCTAGATCCACCATATTGGCCCTCCATCGTGCCTGGAGAAGAAGCTGCCTTGGTCTTCTCCGATAAGAGCACGTGCAATGGTCATGCCAAGATATTAAGGTCTTGTTTGGTACTCGAACTTTTTAAATTATTAAACATTTTTCCAATGTAGAAGTAGACATTTACTACAGTGCAGTTTTAATGAGCAAGTAGTTTGTCTATGTTTCTCATTTATGTTCATCCTTTATTTTGCTTTTGCCTTTTTTTTTTTTCCTTATGTATCATTCATCCTCTCAACCTCAATAAAAGATAGGGTAACAAAATGGATTATCATATTTTATCAAGAAAATAGAATTTCTCAACAATCCTCCAAAGCTCTTATATTGGAATTTTAATCATCACTAAGCAGGGGTTTAAGGTTTCTCGTCTATAATTTCTTTGCTTTATTTTTTATTTTTATAGCTCTTGTTGTGCCCTAAAGTCAGTAACTTAACAATCAAAGGGGTTCTTGTAAAAATAACTTAGTCAAAACCCCATAATTCCATTTTGACTTTTTTACTTTAACAATATTTCAAAAATGACCCATTTGCTGTAAAAAGATAAAAACACCCTTAAGTAACTAAAACAATTACAAAACATGTTTGTATTAAAAAGACAATGCTACCCTTTTAGTTAATAAACAAAACTATTGTTACGAAAAAAATAATCAGCACAAACAGCTGAAAATTCGAATGTTAACGACTGTTAATAGCCGATTTTTTCTGGCTGTTAACAGCCGAAAAAGTCGGCTGTTAAGCTGAGGCTGCTTGAGTATTTTTATCATAACTTTTGTTTCCGATATCCGATTAAACCGATTTAAAATGCGTTGGAAAGATAACTCAAAGTGCTACAACTTTGTTAGAAATAACTCTTTTTCATCGAACGTTTACTAGGCCAAAAATGGATTTCAATCTCCAACTAAAAATTTGGACATCCTTATGCTGTGGAAAATTGATTTGTTTTCACTTCTTTTGATCTTTAGTTATATCCATTTGACCCTTAACATTCTCGAATCTTCATTGTGAGTTTCGACACAA